ACACACACTGACACACTCTCTCACACACACACACACACACATTGACACACACACAGACATACACACACTCACACACACACACACACACTCACACACACACACACTCACATACACTCACATACACTCACACACTGACACAGTCTCAAACACACGCACGTACCCGCACAGATTTCACTCTTTCCACCCCCTCCCCATTTTCACCCACGTGTACGCCTGTCTATGCATGTACAGTGACTCCATTTGTGTTTGTCTCGCCCTCATCTACTTCTCTCGGGTCGTCTTTTAATGTCTTGTGTGTCCATCTCTTCCAAATAATACTATTTGAGAGAGTTTTGAGCTTTGCATAAAATCGAAATTTTTTGAATTTGTGGTTAACACAGTTCAGTCTCTCCTTGAACGATAGGTTGTTGGGAAAGAAATTGAAGTGTCCATTTGTTTCCAAAAGCCCATGCTTTGGTCAAACTTAATTTTTTGTTTGTTTAATTTTTGTGCATATTCAGATCAATTTTTCTCTGTCCTTTCAAGGACCGTCTCCCTCTTCCTTATCCCCCCCCTCCACTCTCCCCCTCTCCATTTCTCTATACTACACATACTACACAACGCGCTCATATGACCTTACGCAGTTGCGAGCGCCGTAAAACCCTATACTACACATCTCTTTCTCTGTCTCTCTCTCTCTCTCTGTCTCTCTCTCTCTGTCTGTCTCTCACTCTCTCTTTCTCTCTCTTGTCCCCTCACTCTTTCTGTCGAAGTCTCTCTTGATCGAAATATAATATATGTGTGTTTGCATGTGAATATGTGTCAATTTGTTTTATTATTATGTCTTTGTGTGCGAGTTGTTGTTTTTTTCTATTTGACAACCTGGTTTTTTTTCACTCTCTTCCTCGTTTTCCTTCCCGAAAGGATGAGTTTACCCATTCTCTCTGCTCTATTGCCGTCCCGTGTGGCGTCCAGTGTCTTAACACTGAGCTACGGTTTGCTCCGTCTTTGATTTCCGCGTCGACAAATGTCTTGACGCTCTTCTCTGGTTCTTGTTCCTTCTTTGATTTCCCTCTTGCTCCGGGTTCCCCATTGATCGCCCAATTCGTGTTTGTTTGGGTTTTTTCCTCCTTGACAAACACCTGTCCTCTTCCCGTTTACTTTTTTTTTTTTACTTCGTTTTGGACCCGACAAATTTAGCCCCCTGGATCAATGACCATGAGGTTTTTCAAAGAATGCCTCAGCAAATTGACGCAACTGTGCTCTTTAGTAGAGGAAAAGTACATGCATTTTTTTTATTTTCAGAAAAAGAAAATTAAGGTAGTTGATGCTATGCCGCACAAAACATCAGTAAGGCCAAAGGGGAATGGAAACAATTGGAAGGAATGGGCGTAAGAAAAGAGAAATCGCACTTTTAACGGCTTTATTTACAACCGAGTTTTGCTCAAAAAGACACAGACAAAACTACATACTTAAACTCATACAAACAGCTGATAAATAGATACCCTGAAGCAGAGAAACTCTTTACAGACGGATCCAAAAATGACTCCTCAGTAGGAGCTGCTGCCCTTGCATCGCCACACAGCTTAAGCTTAAGGAAACTCCATCCAGAAGCTTCAGTCTACACTGCTGAGGCTACAGCTCTTGCATCGCCACACAGCTTAAGCTTAAGGAAACTCCACCCAGAA